CCCGGTACTTTTTATAGACTGTTTTTCCTAGCCAGCCCACAAATTTCCAGGTCAATTGAATTCAGTTTCTCAACTTGCCATGCATAGGGCTCTCTTCACAGGATGTGGGCGCTACTGGTTAAGCCAGCACTTTTTGCCTATACCCAATTGCCCCTGAGAGGGTGGTGGTGAGCACTCTTCTTGAACCACTGCAGTTCATGTGGTGTAGGAACAGCTCAGGTGCCATTAGGGAGGGATTCCGAGATTTTGTCCCAGTGACACTGAAGAACAGAGATATATTTCCAAATAAGGATGATGTGTAACTTGAAGAATTGCAGGTGGTGCTGTCCCCTGCATCTGCTGCTCATGTCTTTCTATCAAGCATTAAATTGCGAGTCGAGTGCCACAGCCATGCTGTTGTATCTAGAGAAGAATCTATGCTCATTGTGTTCATCATTAATCTACATGTTATAAGTGCTTTAACAGAATAAAATCTGAGCTCTGTTGCATTACAATGGCCTTTTCAATTAAGCGAAGGGACTTAAGATTGGGCTGGACCTTCCTGGTGGAAGTTCACCTGGACCATCTCTAATACCTCTCTCTCTCCTTCCTGGACCTCTCTGTCTCCATCTCTGGCAACCACCTAGAAACCGATATCCATTTCAAGCCCACCGACTCCCACAGCTACCTAGAATACACCTCCTCCCACCCACCTTCCTGCAAAAATGCCATCCCCTATTCCCAATTCCTTCGCCTCCGCCGCATCTGCTCCCAGGATGATGCATTCCACTCCCGTACATCTCAGATGTCCTTGTTTTTCAAGGACCACAACTTCCCCCCCTCAGTGGTCGAGAACACCCTCGACTGTGTCTCCTGCATTTCCTGCAACTCATCCCTCACACCTCCTCCCCGCAATAACAACCAAAACAGAATCCCCCTCGTCTTCACGTACCACCCCAACAACCTCCGGATCCAACGCATCATCCTCCAACACTTCCGCCATCTGCAATCCAACCCCACCACCAAAGACATTTTTCCCTTCCCACCCTTATCTGCTTTCCGGAGGGACCACTCTCTCCGGGAGTCCGTTGTCCGCTCCACACTCCCCTCCAGCCCCACCACACCTGGCACTTTTCCCTGCAGCCGCAGGAAGTGCTACACCTGCCCCTACACCTCCCCCGTCACCCCCATCCCAGGCCCCAAGAAGACTTTCTACATCAAGCAGATGTTCACCTGCACTTCTGCTAATGTGGTATACTGCATCCGCTGTTCCCGTTGTGGCCTTCTCTACATCGGGGAAACCAAGCGGACGCTTGGGGACCGCTTTGCAGAGCACCTACGCTCGGTTCGCACTAAACAACTGCACCTCCCAGTTGTGAACCATTTCAACTCCCCCTCCCATTCCTCAGACGACATGTCCATCCTGGGCCTCCTGCAGTGCCACAACGATGCTACCCGAAGGTTGCAGGAACAGCAACTCATATTCCGCTTGGGAACCCTGCAGCCCAATGGTATCAATGTGGACTTCACAAGCTTCAAAATCTCTCCTCCCCCTACCGCATCCCAAACCCAGCCCAGCTTGTCCCCGCCTCCCTAACCTGTCCTTCCTCCCACCTATCCCCTCCTCCCACCTCAAGCCACACCCTCATCTCCTACTTACTAACTACATCCCGCCCCCTTGACCTGTCCGTCCTCCCTGGACTGGCCTATCTCCTCCCTACCTCCCCACCTACACTCACCTTTACTGGCTCCATCCCCGCCTCTTTGACCTGTCTGTTTCCTCTCCACCTATCTTCTCCTCTATCCATCTTCTATCCGCCTCCCCCTCTCTCCCTATTTATTTCAGAACCCCCTTCCCCTCCCCCATTTCTGAAGAAGGGTCTAGGCCCGAAACGTCAGCCTTCCTGCTCCTATGATGCTGCTTGGCCTGCTGTGTTCATTCAGCTCTACACCTTGTTGTCTCAGATTCTCCAACATCTGCAGTTCCTACTATCTCTGAAACGTAAGAATGTTGCAGCTCAGAAAGAGACCATTTGACTCATCACACCTGTACTGACTTTCTGGGAGAAGCATGCACATAGTCGTATTGCCCAGATTTTTCCCTGTTTTTAAATTTCAAATATTTTTTTCCATATCAAAAAGCTAACCTGGATCCTACTTCTTTGTTAGGTCTGGTTGGATAGTCCTGGATCCAACTACCCTCTGCAGAAAAATATCGTCTGAGACCTTCTGCTTTTTATGTGCTCTTTTCATGAGATGTGGATGTTACTAGCAAAGTGAGCCTTTGTTGCCCATCCCTAGCTGCTCTTAGCTGAGTACCTTCCTCGACCATTTCAGAGGACTGTTAAGAGTCAACCACATTGCTGTAGGTCCAGAGTCACCTTTAGACCTGACCAGATTTCCATCACAAAAGGATATGAGTGAACTAAATGAGTTTGAATGACAATCAAAAATTTTTTCATGCTACCCATCACTGAGAGTGGCTTAATAATTCCAGATTTATTCGTTGAGTTCAAATTCCACCAGTTGCCATTTAAGGCATAAGGATAGAACCCTATCCTTTTAGACTTTGGCCTGGACATCTAGATTACTGTTCCAGTGACGCCACTGTTGTGCCACCTTCTCCTTTACTACCACAAAAGGAGAATTAGATTCAATAACGGGTCAGTAAATCAACACAACACCTCGGTCCATTTTGTTCATTGTCACAAGTGACCTTAGGGTGACATGACTTAATGATTTCATAATTGTATTAAGAAGAGGATGCTCTTCAATCTTGCGAGTCTCCTGTCCCCATTACATTAGATTATGTGTGATTTCTGCCTCAACTCTTTTTGTCTGTCTTTGCTGCAGAATGCTTGATACCCTCACCTAACTAAAATATCTAGTGTTCTGAGTCTTCAGTTGATCGTCAGCCTACAGGGGAAGAGATTTCCACACAAATCCCGAGCATGTGCCTGTATCAGCTGTACTGCTTTTTATGTCAACTTGGCATCAGGCATTACTTGGAACAAATGAAAGTTTTATTGCAAATCCTTTTCCAAATATTGCAGTATGCGAACTTGATGCTTCTGACTTTTGGTACAGCTGCTTATTATTTCCAGTCTATTAGTGTACTGTGATTTTCAAGGGATTATAACACATTTTATTCAACAATTCAGATTTTCGATGTGTAGATGACTTAGAGGCTGTAAGATTGTATTTACTACCTCTTAACTATGAATGGACAGGAAAATCTAGCCTGTAGCAAATCGTTTGGTTTTGAAACTACAAGGACAATGTTGCCCAGTTTAAATTTACAATGTTAACAAGCTAAAATGCCACTGAGCACTTTTTATTGATTTTAAACAAAGCCAGAGTCTTTGACCAAGCAGGATGAGTAATTTATCTTAATACCCAGCACCTGATAACATATTCTATCCATGAATCTACGACATTCAGTTTCAAATATGACATTCAAATTTAAGCCTTTGGGTCTAAAAGACCAGCAGGTGGTGAGCTACAATCACTTATTTCAAGAACACATTTTTAAGATAGAAAATCATGGTGTTATTTTTTTCCCTGCTGGAAGTTTTAGTTTAGTGAACACAAATTGCAGCGGATCATGACAATCCTCACCATCCTCTCAAGGGCAAACAGGAATGGGCAATACACATTTGCCTGAGATGTCCCAGCCTGAGAATGAGATGTTTAGAAAGTCGAGATCAAGTCCAAGGATGTGTAGGTTAGATGGATTGGCCATGCTAAATTGCCCATAGTGTCCAGGGATGAGTAAATTAGGTGAATTAGCCATGGGAAATCCAGGGTTACAGGTATAGGGTTGGGCGGGTGAGTCTGGGTGGTATGCTCTCCTGAGAGTCGGTGTGGACTTGTTGGGCTGAATAGCCTGTTTCCACACTGTAGGGATTCTATGATTCAAGCCGTGCAATCAGTTTCATCACACTGCTGCATTTGCATTGTTACATTGCAGCGGTACAGGATTGTTACTCATTTGAAGCAAGACTAACAGACTGCTCTCTATCGATTATTTCCTTAATTTGTTGGGAGCAGCCTTTTATGTCAGACACAGGAGCCAGATTTTGATGCAGAGTGTGAAATGTGAACTGAAGATTTGTTTGCCATTTAACTACAGGAAATTGTTGACTAAGCAATAATGGGAGCTATTCAAGAAGCTATTGGTTATTATGGAATATGTCTTTATTAAATCAGTTAATCCAAATTTGACTATGGCAGGCAGGTTATTGTGTGTCAGAAACAAAAATAGAAATTGTTGGAAAAGCTCAGCAGGTCTGACTGCATCTGTGAAGCGAAATCAGAGTTAATGTTTCAGGTCCGGTGACCCTTCCTCAGAAATCGCGGTACTAGGAAAATGTCGGTTTTTAGGCAGAAGATAGGGTAAGTGGAGGGAGTAAGGAGTAAACAATAGGTGGGGATAAGGCCTAAAGAGAGAGAAGAGAATTGGACAGACGAAGGATTGGATAACGATCTGGCTAGGAGGGAGAATAGCTGTTAATGGAGACTGTTAGTGACTGATGCTGGGCGTGTGTAATAGCAGAGTATGTGATCACAAGGCCTGGTGTGTGGGGCGGCGGCTGGGACATCGGAGAGTTCAAGCCCTAAAGTTATTGAGTTCTGAAGGCTGCAGTGTCTTCAAGCGGAAAGTGAGGTGTTTTTCTTCCAGCTTACGCTGAGCTTCACTGGATCACTGCAGCAAGCCTGAGACAGGAATGTTGGCCAGGGAACAGGGTGGTGTGTTGAGGTTGCAGGCAGTGGGAAGCTCAGGGTCTTTTTTGTGGGCAGAATGTAAGTGTTCATAGATCATAGAATCATAGAATCCCTACAGTGTGGAAACAGGCCCTTCGGCCCAACCAGTCCAAGTGACCTTCAGAGCATCCCACCCAGACCCATCCCCCTAAGCTACACATCCCTGAATGCTGTGGGCAGTTAGCATGGCCAATTCACCTAGCCTGCACATCTTGGGACTGTGGGAGGAAGCCGGAGGACCCAGAGGAAACCCACGCAGACATGGGAAGAATGTGCAAACTTCACACAGCCTGAGAGTGGAATTGAACCCGGGTCCCTGGCGCTGTGAGGCAGCAGTGCTAATCACTGAGCCACTATGCCGCCCCGATTCATGCGAAGCAGTCACCCAGTCTACGCTTCGTTTCCCCAATATAGAGGAGACCACATTGTGAGCAGTGAATGCAGTAGACAAGATTGTGTTAAGTGCAGCTAAAGGGCTGTTTTGCCTGGAAGGTACATTTGGGCCCTTGGATACTGAGGAGGGAGGAGGTAAATGGGCAAGTGTTACACCTTCGGCAATTGCAGGGGAAGGTGCCATAGGGCTGTGGGGGGTTGGCGGGGGGTGCGGTGGCTGGGGTGGGGGGAGTGCAGTAATGTTGGGAGTGAAGGAAGCGTGGACTTGGGTGGCCTGGAGGGAGCAGTCCCTGTAGAAGGCAGACATGGGAGGGGAGGGGAATATGTGTCGGATGGTGACATCTCACTGGAGGTGAGGGAAATGGCGGCTGATGATTTTCTGGATGTGGATGCTGGTGGGATGGTAGATGAGGACACGGGGAACCCTGTTGCTGTTGCGGGAGGGAAGAGAAGGGATGAGGGCAGAAGTGCAGGAGATGGGTCAGCCCCAGTTGAGGGCCCTGTTATTGTGTGTGTCTGACATTGCAAATTTCCAAGAAAAAATTCTAGGAGATATTGAACTGAGTTTTTCTGATCAGCAGGACATAATTCCAGCATTCCTGTATTAATGCTCACCTAAATAAATAATTACCATTGTGTACGTAGTTCTGACTTCAACATTGAGTCTGGGAGCAACGTAGCATCAGTTTTAAAGGTTATTACTAGAAAAATATCCAATTCTAGTGAGTTTAGATCTTGTATACAGCTGCATTCAAATCCAGCAAATAAAGCTGTCATGCATGTATGCCAACATAGGAAGCTAGCAAAAACTTGCCAATAATATTGACAACTCAATGCCAGTCATTTTTTGAATCTAGGCCTATGACCTTTAGTAACATACAAGGTTCTATGAATGATTATCTGCATTTTAAAATTTCATTTTCCAGTGTGAATGTCACACAGTCAGCTATTGCCCTGTGAATGTAGTGGCAGGCCCGGAGTGAACTTGAGGAATGGAATTTCTGAGTTTAAGGGAATCCTTGGAGTCAATTGGCATTGCTCAACAAAGCAATTAGAATCCCTACAGTGTGGAAACAGGCCCTTCGGCCCAATAAGTCCACACTGACCCTTGGGGCATCCCACCCAGACCCATCTCCCTATAACCCACCTAATCTACACATCCCTGAACACTATGGGCAATTTAGCTTGACCAATCCACCTAGCCTGCACATTTTTGGACTGTGGGAGGAAATTGGAGCACCTGGAGGAAACCCATGCAGACACGGGGAGAACGTGCAAACTCCACACAGACAGTCGCCCGAGGGTGAAATCGAACCCAGGTCCCTGGCGCTGTGAGGCAGCAGTGCTAACCACTGAGCCACCATGCCACCCCAATTAGTGGCTGCATCCTTGACAAAGGAAACTGTGAATGCCCAAAAATAAGATCTGTGGTCCCAGATAGGCACATTACACTAGCAACATATAATGTTTGGATTCTTTGTTGCTAATGTAAAATGTTGCTGTAAATTTCAGCTTTTTAAAAATTTATTCATGGGATGTGGACGTCACAGACTAGACCAACATATATTGCCATCACTGATTGCATTTGGGAAAGTGCTGGTTAGCTGGCTTCTTGAACTGTCACAGTCTTTGTGATGTAGTTGTAGTTTTCATGTAATTTATATAATGATCAGTTAGCATTTTCTTTTAATTCATTCATGAGATGTGCATCATACTGGCTGGGCCAGCATTTATTGCCCATCACTAATTGCCCTTGAGAAGGTGGTAATCAGCTAACTCCTTGAGCCACTGAAGTCCATGTGCTGTAGGTAGACCCACAATGCCATTAGGGAGGCAATTCCAGGATTTTGACCCAGCAACAGTGAGGGAATGATGATTTACCCCCCAGTCAGGATGGTGAGTGGCTTGGAGGGAAACTGCTGCCCTTGTCCTTCTAGATGGATGTGGTGATGGGTTTGGAAGATCCTGTCTGAGGAGTCTTGATGAATTTCTGCAGTGCATCCTGTAGATGGTACACACAGCTGCTACTGAGCAATAAATAATCAATAAAGAACAACAACAAGGAATACACAGCTCACGTAATGCAAGCAGGACTGGACTTTCACTGGCAAGATGGATAGCAAAGTGTCCCATCATATCCAAAGCAGGGGTGGGCTAGAGTTGACTCCACCGTCATCCCCGACCCTGGACAAAGGGATGGCTGCGGAGGTGCTGAGGCAGACTGATTTAAAGGTTCAATCCAGTTCTCTAGGATCTCAGCGCAGTCATTTTGTTAGTTATTAGGTCTTCTACTCCTCACCCCTCACAGCCGATCACCACTTCATCCATTCCCATGCCCATTTACTCCTGCTGGCCATGCCAAATCATGCTGACTCACTCCCTCACCTACCCCATGGCCTCTTTTATCCCCAACCCAATTTAATTCCAACCCTTGCTGCCCACCCACTAGCCTTACCGTCTGCAAACCAACTCAACCTGTCTTCAACATGAGTAAATCTGAGGACTCATGTTGAGATGAAATAGAATATCCCTTTACCACCTTTATTATTATTAAAAAGCAAACTTCCATTCATGATAGCAAAATTCGAAACTTTAGAAGCTCCTAAAAGTTTTAATCCCTTGTAAAAACTAACAATTGCATTCATAATTCCACATCAAAAACAATAACATTTTAATAACCTCTTTGAATTGTCAATCAAACTGTAAATTTGCAGCCCTCTGCTGAGATAATTGAAAGTTGTGGAAAGCAGCCAAGCATTAATAATGGTATAATGGTAGCCTTTACATATGTTAGCAAACAGCTTTTAGTTGTTAGATCTGATTATTTACAACACTGTCTGACGCAGGCGCTTGTAAGTTTTAATGGTCTCGGGATTTAAATAGCTTCACAACTGGACAGTTTTACAGATTTTCTCCATCCTTCATGAGCTTCTATCTCCCATAGGTTTGTGACTTGCACATTGCCTGATGAGGCTGACACGGGCAATGAGGTTTGTTGAACTCAACACTGAGTTCAATTTGCCCTGCTGACATCGGGGTCCCACCTGTATGCACGCCTCAAATCCTTTCCCTTACTGGTGAAAATCGAATCTGAATCTGCTCCCATCCACTATCTTTAAAAATGCATAGAGTTTTCCCGACTTGGTGAAAATCTGATCTTATTTCCTTGAAATTCACGACTGAAAAACAATTGCTTGTTTTTAATTTCTGATGGAGAGTTTGAGGACATGAGATTCATAGCAATGCATACAGAAAATCATTTTCTCAATAATTGCATTTTGTATGCTAGTCACCTTGCCTTGTATTCTTTGTCAGCTTGAAAATTTCTCAATTCAGTTATAGAATGTACTCGCTTGGCCATGTCAACACTTTTTGTCCAGCCCTAATTATGTTGAGAAGGTGATGTTGAACTGTCTTCTTGAATTTCTTTAGTCTTCATGATATAGGGACACCCACAGTGCTATTAAAAAGGGAATTTCAGGATTTTGACCCAGTGACATTGAAGGAACATTAATATATTCCAAATCAGGCTGTTGTGTGGGGCTCTAATTGGAGGTAGCATCTGCTACCCTTGTCTTTCTTGTTAATAGAGGTTGTGGGTTTTGGAATATGCTGTTGAAGGAAGCTTAGAGAGGTACTGCAGTACATTTGTCAGTGGTGAAGCGAGTGAACATTGAAGGTGATGGATGGAGTGCCAGTCAAGCAGGCTGCTTTCTGCTGGACAGTATTGAGCTTCTTCAGGGTAGTGGAACTGCACCGTCAAGGCAAGTGGAGAGTGTTCCATCACACTGTTGACTTGCGCGTTGGAAACATTGGACAGGCTTTGGGGAGACAGGCAATAAGTTACTCACCACAGAATTGCTCATCTTTGACCTCCTCTTGTAGCCATTGCATTTATATGGTAGTCCAGTTCAGTTTCTGGTCAATGGTAAATAAGCCCCCAGTATGATAATTGTAAGGGATTCAGCAATGGTAATGCCATTTGATGTTAAGGGATAGTGGTTAGATTCTCTCTTATTGGAGATGGTCATTGCCTGACATGTGAGGTACAAACGTTACTTCCCACTTGTCAGCCAAAACCTGGATATTGTCCAGCTCTTACTGAATATGGAAATGTACTGTTTCATTTTCTGAGAAGTCACATTTGTTGAATATTATTAGTTGAGTGTGTTAATTTAAATTCCATGTTTTACGATGATTCTAATTCCAAAGTAGTGTAAGTTACCACTGATTAATTATTAGTGCAAAAACGTCAGACTTGGTCATTGTGAGAGTTTTGCTCTGATTCAAATCTGATGTGTTGACAATGTTCTGATTCATACAACTTTCAAATTAACAATGAAAATTCATAGAATGTTAAGAAGCTGCTGGAATTTGTGTTCTTACAGACTTTTGTTTCATAAAATAGGTGCTGCTATTTCATGACCAAAGCTACGTTATCCACTATGAATACACAATCTTGGTGAACAACTCCATTGAAAGCAGTGACAAGGTGCAAAAACAGCTGGAACCTTTTTACCTGTGGACAAACACTGGCTGGGGGGACTGCAGTGTACAGTGTGGAGGAGGTACTGTCAGTAGAAAGATTCCATTTAATGTTTGCCATGAACAAACAAAGAGGTTCAGTGGAACTCCCAAGTTCCTACTGTATTCATATTGCATTGTTAACTTTGCTTCACAAATAAAGCAGTTTGCCTTGGTCCAACACCTTCACCATAGATTTGTGATTGCAGTTGTTTCAAAGGGTTTTGGGGAAAAAATGGTAGACTGAGTCAAAGGATAAACTATGACTTGACTAAGAAATAATGTTCAACATGGGGGAGAATTCCAGAAGGTGGCACATCAACAGTTATGGACCACTAGTCTGGAGTGAAAGGAGTCACAGGACACAATCACAAGGTTTGGGATGAGAAAGTTACAAGAGGATTTGAAAATGTGGATAAGGATTTTAAATATGAGATATTTGAGAATCTGGAGCCAGTGTAGATCAGTAAGGACTGGATTGATGGGTTAATGAGACTTTTGCACAATAGAGTAGGTAAAGGTAAAGTTACCATAGACCCAGAGGACCGCACTCCCATTAGAAAGAGATGGCTGGTTGTGGTTTAACCTGATGGTCACCACACCTCAAGCAAGAGGAGAGGTTGAGAGGGGAGTCCTGTGCAAGAATTGATCTCACATTGCAAACTAGCCATCCACCCAACTGAGCTAACTGACCCCAATGCAGACGGTAATGTTTTGGCTGAGCTGAAGCTTGACAAGGGTGGACAATGGCAGGTTGTGAGTGTAGGGTGCATGTCCCTATTGCCCATGGAGATTGCCGTGAAACATTGGTGCCAGTGTCTAAAATGCAGGTCCAGAGAACCAAGTGTTGAGTTTGAGAGATTAGGTACCTGCTCTGACTTTTGTGTTGAGAATTCTGGCTCGTGGGTGGTAAAATAGGAGAGTGCATATTAATGATCTGAGATTAAGTAATAATAAAGGTGCTAATGAGTGATAATTCCTGTTAATAGGACCCTCGCTGGTAACCAGTGAGAATCTCAGATGGACCTTTGTTAGAAAATGTGACGTGTTGCTCCCAGCATCGAGAAAGGCCTCACTTGACTTTTGACAATTCTCCCAAATTTCTTGCCGTAGCCTATGTCATGCAGAGCCTGGGAATATTCTGCCCCATATGTCTATCATTGGAAAAGGGCAGATTTTGCATGAATCAATACAAATTTGTCCTTTCGTGATAACAGCTTGCAAAAGCAGTTTTGTCAAAAAAACACATTTAAGAGATTATATATGAAAAGGGCAAGTTTCTCAAAATTGTACTGGTGACAAGAAGCTTCATCATTTAGGAGCATGTGCCACAATGTCGCAGGCTCATTCCATAGCTGCTAACTGTTGTGTATTTGCGTAAGTATATTAGACTGTCACTTTAAGAGTCCTATCATGTTATATCATGATGACACTCCAACATACTTACCAACTCCAATCAGAAATTGAATAAATTTCACATCTTAAATGTCTCAATTGTTTATCAGTGCTAAAAGGGAGCAGTGGATTGAAATTGCTAGCATAAATGAGTATGATCAGAGTCAGTGGGAAATGGTTAGAAATATTAGACTCATATGGCCATTAAAACGGCCATGCCACCATGCAAACCAAATTGGTGGATGCCACTGTGTCTGTCATATTTGCTCCAAAAATAATGATACGATAATCCAATAAGATTGGTCATATGTCTCTCTAAACGGATGGGAATAAGTTTCTCAAACATCTTTCCCAACTCGAGGCATTCCAAAGTACATTTCAACCATTACTTTTGACTGTAGTCACTGGTGTGACATCAGAATTGGGACTACCAATTGAATACAGCAAGGTTTATGAGCAGCATACGTAATGTGACTGAATTTTACATTTTGTATGAGGCAGATAGGAGGATGTCTGACATTTTTAAAAAATATTTAAATATAACCATAACGCAATTACAAAGGCATGAAATAGAACTGGTTGAAGTGAATTGGCAAATTTAGTTTAAAGGATTGCAGTAGCAGACATGTAAGGGGATATTTACATAAATATATGTAAAGGAATACACAGAGTAGATATATTCCAGTGTTTAAGAACATTTCGAAGGGTCCTTGGCAAGATGTATCAAGTGGCATGTCAAAGGACTGGTTCTGGGACCGCAACTGTTTATAATTTATATAACTGAAATGGATGAAGGGGTAGAAGGAACAAAGGTATGATATCAAATTTGCTGATGTCACAAAAATTAGTCTGAAAGTAAATTGTGAAGAGAACATGAGGGGACTATAAAAGAATATAGATAGGTTAGGTGAGTGACAAACATCTGGCAAATGGGGTATAATGTGGGAAAATGTGAAAGTGCACATTTCAGCAGGAAGAGTAAAAAAAACCCTGTTATTTAAATGATGAGAGATTGAAGCACTCTGAGATGCAGAGGAAGCTGGGTGTCCGTGTATACAGGTACAACAAGTAATTAAGAAAGCTAATAGAATGTTACCATTTATTGTAAGGAGGATTGGATACAAATGTAGAGATGTTATGCTTCAGTTGGACAAGATACTGGTGAGAAGATGTCTGGATTACTGTGTATATTATTGATTTCCTTATTTCAGGAGGGATGTAAGTGCATGTGAAGCAGTTCAGAGATGGTTTCTCAGGCTAATACCTGGAAGGGATATTTTGGGTTAAGAGGAAAGAATGGATAGGCTAGGTTTGTATCGATTGAAGTTTAGAAGAATAAGAAGCAACCTGATTGTAAATTCTAAGGTTCTGAGGGGTTTTGACATGGTGGGTCAGGAAAGGATCTTTGTCTTTACAGGAGAATCTAGAACTCGGGGTCATTGTTTAAAAATAGGGTGGGCTTGCTTAATTGAAGACAGAGATGAGGCAATATTTTCAAAAAGCTGTGGGTCTTTGGAATTTTCTTGCTCAAAAGCTATTTAAGTAAAACCTTAGAATATTTTTAAGGCGGAGGTGGATAGAGACGTAGAGAGAGAAGGTAGATAGAAGGAGGTGAAACTTTGTTGAGGTTAGGTGGGAAACTAAATTTGAGGTTCCAAAGCTTTGATCTTATTAGATGGTGGAGCAGGCTTGAGGGGCGGAATGACTTACATCTGCTCCTAACCTGTATGATCGTAGAACTGTTTTAGTGATGTCAGTGAAGGCTAAATAGAGACCAGGATTTTGCTTTTCCAAATATGGCTGTGAAATCCTTAACACCCACCTGGGAGGTCAGACAGGGCCTCAATTTAAGACAGCCCCTCTGACGGTGTAGTTTTTCCTCAGTGTTACACTGGAACTATCAGGTTTAAGTTCAGAGGTTGATTTTTTGATTTGGCAGCACAAATCAGGAGGTACATATGTTTTTGGGTCCTTAATAACCCCTTGAGTCATTAGTTGGAATTTTGTCCGCTGTGCCTTCCTTTACTAGCACAGAGGCAGCTTTACCGTGGGCAATAGTGGACTCATACACAAGAGAGCCAACCAAAGGCCTTTCAACATGAAAAGAGCATCAGGCTACAGTACAGAGGAAGTAATTATTAACTGAGTTCAACATGTAGGTTCTCAGCAACATTTTAAAATATTTAATTGAAAAGTAGGAACAAAACTTGGCCATTGCTGTCTCCAGGCAGTGAAATGAGCCCCAATCCAGCCAGTCATATCCAGAGACTGGGAGATCAACTGAAAAATCCAAGTTGGCCTCCTTTTAGTTGCCCTTAACAGCATTCTATCGGGTCTGTTTAGTTGCTTCTTTTACTGGGACAGGCAATCTTTCCAGGACCAACCCTCCATCTCCCCCTTACCCTTCAAAGTAGACAGTGCTGGGATTGCTTTCATTTCCATCCTCAATGGGGGCTGAATATCCTGCTTTAAGTGCCCCAAGTGGGACTTTAACCAACATAAGTAGAACTGGTCATTGCAGGGTTGATAATTAAAATCTAATTTAAAAAATCTAATAAATTTAGGGCCTGTTTCCCATCACCCAGTTACCATAAAACAGAATGTTTTGGCTTTTGTGGAGTGCAGTGAGGTTAGCCAGTGTGACCTGACACTTTTAGAAATGTCGCCTATTCCACTTGGACTGTGGTCCCCATTTCATCTTTGGGAAATTAACACTCAAGGCAGTGTGGCAAGGTCCAAGAGCTGCCAGGCTACTAGAGTTACAGTTATGTGAAATAGCAGTGCCACATCAACTGTAGGGTTTACAATCAGATGTGTGAAAATATAGTGCATTCTGCTCCACATTTCAAGTTTACAACTGTTCTCTTCAGTAGAAACATGTTCCATATATTTGTTTTTATATTGTATTTTCTCCTCTCATTTTTAATACAGAAATATTTTTCTTTAGGTGTAGTGGTGATCTGTCTCAGGATACGTTCCCCTGCTCACTTCTGCATGCCTCAAGGTTCTGCAGTATCCAGTTCAAATGCTTATAGGAGCCTGCCCTTTTCAACTTCAATGAATAATGAGCAATGTTACTAAGGAAGAGATTACACAAGGTGGTTTCTCATTGCCTTCCTTACGAGTACGTAAAGGAAATTAAAATCCCTTTCACATTCTGTATGCCTAAACAACTGCTGTCCTTCAGAGTTCCAGCTCTTCTGCCATTACCATCAAAAATTCTCCAATTCTACTATTTGCCAAGGCTTGTAACCCTGAGCATGAGACCCTTACCTGGGCCTGGGGTAATTAAAGTTTTTGAGAGGGGGTCAACCAACCCCTTGGTCCCTGAAATGATCCTTCAAGCCAAATTTTCCTTCAAATCCACTGATAACAAATAGTTTGGAATCAATAATTTGTTGGAGTTTGCTTTGATGTTGGTCAGAAGCTGTGGAATTTGAGATTTAAACCAGATGTGGCTTTTTCATGACTGCAGTCTCGCCATGTGTAAACACCTTGGTCTGTTTGTGTGTGTCCTGTGCAGTATTAATGATATCCGTATCATTAGACTTAATCCTGGAATCTGCAGAATCAGTAACAACTTGCAAAAAGTCACCGGGTGAATATTTGCTGGGATAAAAGAAAGGTGATTGAACTAATTGGGTAGCTCTTTCAAGGACCCAGTACAGACACAAAGGTTGAACAGAGTTCAGAACTGTATTGTACTGTGGGCATTGTACAAAGGAAATAGCAAATAGCCAAAAATTTCCAATCAGTTCACTTAATGTAAGGTTTGTACTTGTGATTGAGGATAGACTGTTGGAGAATGGAACAGAGAAGGGAAAAAGTTTTAAATAACATTCTGAACAAAAATGTTTGTTCAATAACAAATATTTTACTTAAAACAATTGACACTTAATGTAAAGACAGATGTGACTGAAATATAAGAGAGCTTCCAATGTGCAAAAGCAACTTGCCACTAAGATACATCAATTAAATATACAAAGTATGACTCCAGTGAGGAGTCTCACGTGCTGTAGGCACATGTCTGAAAAATATCTCCATGGGAATAGATGAAAGTCACAGACAGTGTGAATTCCATATAATAGTTACCAGCTTGCATGTAAATCCTTTGATTTTTACAGTATTTCATTGTTGATCTGTGGCCCATTGGTGCAGCCAGCTGGAGGGCCACAGCTGTGTTGAGTATACCAGTGTGAGACTGGGCCTCTTTAATGAATAACCTGAGGCTCTGTCCAAGGATTAAAATTTTGAACCATTTATCTTTCTTTGTATCTGATACTAACAATTAGATTGAAAGGGTAAAACAAATCAATTCACAGGTTTTGAAAGAATCAGACTGTTCTGAAATGATCTTAAATAAGATAACAAAGTATAGAACTGGATGGACACAGCAGGACAGGCAGCATCAGAGGAGCAAGAAATGTTTTCTGAAGAAGGGTCCAGATCCGAAACGTCAGCTTTCTTGCTCCTTGATGCTGCTTGGCCTGCTGTGTTCATCCAGCTCTACACCCTGTTATCTCAGACTCCAGCATCAGCAGTTCCTACTATCCCTCTGAAATAATCTTGGTCCTTTACACTCAAGTGTCTGAAGTGAGGCAGTTTCTGTTGAAGTTCCACTGGAGTTATGGGGGGATGGATTGGTGTGGACTCGTTGGGCCGAAGGACGTTTCCACACTGTAGGGATTCTATGATGATTATGATTCTCTCTCTGAATCAACAGCAACGTGCTTTCTGAAGCTTGGCAATGAACAGTGTGGTGACAGACTGACCACTGCACTGTACAATCTATTTGTATTAATGTCAAAGCATTTGTGCTTTTTCCAGCATATTATATCATAATCTCATCATGGAACATGCTGAAATCTATTTTGCGTTGTTCTGCTGTCAGTGCCGACAGTTAACACAGCTTCAGACACCAGAATCCAATATAATTACATTCAGTTGGATGGTACTCCAACAAAACCCAATTCATTGGGTTGCTGCAAGCATTAGTGTAGGCTGTAGGAGCTAGTGCCTGAGAATAATCCAAATGCTGCTTTAGAGATCAAACTAGAATTAAATAAAAGTTAGAGTATAGTATTTCTAGCTCAGTAGGATAGTTTTCTGCATTCAGATTGCTGTATCCTTATTTCTTTTTTTCTCTTTGTACTCTGTTCCTTGCTTTCAGGTGAGCGGAAAACAATCGTCCGTTGCACCAAGATTTTGAATAAGACATTGGAGGTGGCAAATGACAGCGATTGTCAAAACCTGACCCGACCAGATCCACAGGTCAGGAAGTGCAATATACATCCATGCCTGTCACGGTAAGAAACTCTATCATATACTCGCTGCTACACAACTACCTTGGACATTAATTCCCCCAGTCAGAAGTAACCCCTTGGTGCTTTACAAAGTAAGCTTCAAATAATGGTAGGAATTGTCCAAGTTTCTCCCTTGATGTTTGATGTTGGGATGGACAGTTGTCACATTGATGGATTGGTGGGGTGACAAGCAACAACATAAATAGATTGTTCATATGTTTTTAATGGTTTTGTTTGCAGGAAAAATTTTGGCCAAAAGGATTTTGCAACTCTTTCAGTAATGTCATGGGATCTTCCACCTAGATCATCAGAATAACAAGTTTCTCAATGTATCTAAAAGATGGCACCTCCATCCTCTTGACGTTATAATTTAGTGACAGTCTGGATTATGCACCTAAATGTTCGTCCTGAAAAGCTCAACTGACAGAAGTTAGCTTTGGATATATTTTTAAAAGACCATCCTAAAGCTAGGATCAGTAATATACATCTATCTGTGACGTTTAATAAAAGAAGTGGAAAAGGCACAAGATGAAAGTAGAGCACTAAGGAATGAATCTTATTCTTATTTTAGTGCAATTTAGGTGATGATTCCTAAGGATGATTAGAGGACAGGAATAGGAACACGTGAGCAAGGAACGGACAAAAACACACAGACACACCACACGCATGCACACAGGCAAATATACACACACACGAATAAACATGCACACAGGCAAATATACACAGACACACGAATAAACATACACACAATTACAGACGTGTTATGGAGCAGAAGAAGGCAGTTCAGCCCATCGTGTGTTTCACCAGATCTTCAGTTGAACTAATGACCTATTTCTAACCTCCTGCTTTTTCTCCATATCCTTTGCATATTATTTCTATCCAAATAATTATCCAATGCCCTTATGAATGTCTGATTTGACCTTGCCTCCACCACATTTCCAAGCAGTTCATTCCAGACTGCAACTACTTGCTGTGTTATCCAGCCAACTCATGATTTTGACAACATCCATCCGATCTCCAAGCCTTTTTCTCTTCTATGAGAGCAGTCCCGACCTTTCTCAATCTATCCTCATAATTGAAGTTTCTCATTGCTGGAACCATTCTTGTAAATCACTTCTGCATTCTCTGCAATGCACTTACATCTTTTCTACAAATTTTTAAAGATCAGAATTTTTAAGCTGGCGGGAGAGAATAGAAAGAATGATGGAGAAATTCTGTCATAAAGTAAAAGGTGGGGGAGGTTAAGTAACAAAAGATTTCATGATGCAACAGCCAGAATGAAAGATAATGGATGGAGTGAAGAATTAAAGGCTGTGTCCAAATGAAGAGTGAATTGCTGCAGAATAAAGCATCTGAATGTAAATTGAAGGGATAAAGAAGAAAACCAGACAAGACTAACCCAGCAAAACAAAGGGGAAAAACATAAATGGTAAAAAGTTGCAGCATGCTGCTATGAATGGTAAAAAAGTTGCAGCATGCTGCTATGCAGAGGGACCTGGGTGTCCTTGTGCATGAATCACAGAAGGTAGGTCTGCAGGTACAACAAGTAATTAGGAAGGCATTGCTAAAGGGATTGAAATTAAAAGCAGAGAGGTTATGTTGCAGCTGCACAAGGTGCTGGTGAGGCCACACCTGGAGCACTGTGTGCAGTTTTGGTCTCCTTACTTGAGAAAGGATGTATTGGCACTGGAGGGCATGCAAAGGAGGTTCACTAGCTTGATTCCGGAGTTGAGGAGGTTGGCTTATGAGGAGAGACTGAGTACATTGGGATTATATTCATTGGAATTCAGAAGATTGAGGGGGGATCTTATAGAAACATATAAAATTATGAAGGGAATAGATAAGATAGAAGTAGAGAGGATGTTTCCGCTGGCAGGTGAAGCTAGGACAAGAGGGCATAGCCTCAAGATTAGAGGGAGCAGATTTAGGACTGAATTGAGAAGGAATTTCTTCACCCAGAGGGTTGTTAATTCTTGGAATTCCTTGCCCAGTGAAGTAGTTGACGCTACTTCAGTAAACGTTTTTAAAAGAAAGGTAGATTTTTTTTGAACAATAAAGGAATTAAGGGATACGCTGAGAACGCGGGTAAGTGGATCTGAGCCCATGAAAAGATCAGCCATGATCTTATTGAATGGCGGAGCAGGCTCGAAGGGCCAGACGGCCTACTCCTGCTCCTAGTTCTTATGTTCTTATAAACAACCTCTGCTGCCTTTCTGAGTTCTGAGGAAGGGTCACCGAACACAAAACATTAACTCTGGTTTTTTCTTCACAGATGCTGCCAGACCTGCTGAGCTTTTCCAGCAACTTCTGTTTTTGTTCCTGATTTACAGCATCTGCAGTTCTTTCCAAAGAACAAAGAACAAAGAAAATTACAGCACAGGAACAGGCCCTTCGGCCCTCCAAGCCTGCACCGATCCAGATCCTCTATCTCAACCTGTTGCCTATTTTCCAAGGATCTGTATCCCTCTGCTCCCTGTCCATTCATCTATCTGTCTAGATACATTTTAAATGATGCTATCGTGCCCCGCCTCTACCACCTCCACTGGCAACGCGTTCCAGGCACCCACCACCCTCTGCGTAAAGAACTTTCCACGCATATCTCCCTTAAACTTTTCCCCTCTCACCTTGAAATCGTGACCCCTAGTAATTGAGTCCCCCACTCTGGGAAAAAGCTTCTTGCTATCCACCCTGTCTATACCTCTCATGATTTTGTAGACCTCAATCAGGTCCTCCTCAACCTCCATCTTTCTAATGTAAATAATCCTAATCTACTCAACCTCTCTTCATAGCTAGCACCCTCCATACCAGGAACATCCTGGTGTACCTCCTCTGCAACCTCTCCAAAGCATCCACATCCTTTTGGTAATGTGGCGGCCAGAACTGTATGAAGTATTCCAAATGTGGTCGAACCAAAGACCTATACAACTGTAACATGACCTGCCAACTCTTGTACTAAATACAGAAAATAAAAACTTTCCATTTTTATTTAGTATTTAACTCACTGCCACATCTCTTCTAGGCATGCCGTCCTTGAAGAAATTCTGCTCCTCTCTTCTACGAGATTTCTTCTTGTCCACCAAAATTAATTTCACTGTCACTCCTGGTGTTTGACCAAGTATTTGCTAGAATTCATTTCCACAGCCATATCACATTCCTCAGTGACTGTCTCTGGCTCAAACTTACCCCACATGGACTCCAACTGAAGTTTCATCCCTCATGTTTCGAATCCTCCCGTTCTGAGGAAGTGTCACCGGACCTAAAATGTTAACTCTGATTTTTTCTTCACAGATGCTGCCAGACCTGCCGAGCTTCCAGCAACTTCTGCTTTTGTTCCCTCTGCCTTCTTGTTTAATGATCTGAAGCTATTGAACTCAGTGTTGAGTTATGATGGCTGCAGAATGCCGGGTTGAAGGATAAATTGCTGTTTTTCAAGCTTGTGTTAAGCTTCACTGGAACAGTGCAGCAGGCTGAGGACAGAAAAGTCAGACTGGGAGTAAAGTGGCGAATTGAAGTAACAAGCAACTGAAAGCTCAGAGTCATGCTTGTGGACTCAGCAGAGATGCTCCACAAAACAGTCTGTGTTTGGTCACCTAAATGTAGATAAAACCAAATTACAAGTAATGTATACAGTCTAACTAATTAAACAAAGTACAAGAAAGTCTCTATTCTACTTGGAAGCAGTGTTTTGGCCCTGGGAAAGGAATTTGGTGAAAGAACTGGTTTTGAATCAGGATTGATTGCATGGAAAAGTACTGTAGAAAGAGAAGGGAAATGAAGGGTGACTAAGGAGTGGACTTGGATGTCACGAAGAATGCTGAAAAGAGAGAGTGGGAGCAGGTGTGTTTTATAGTTGTATCACACTGAAGTTAATAAAAATCACCTCCACCAATACCAAGTTTCAAAGTGCTTCCTACGCACATTGCTCGTCCCTGACCACCCACTGGATGGGCAGCCTGGTTATTGTCTATAACGTTTCCTCACATTCCTAATCACCCAAACCTTGTGGCTGCATTCCCATGGTAGGCTATCTCCCTGCCACTATGGATCCTCTTGCCCTGCAGATACAACATACAGAGTGACATTAGCATAATATAAAGTGCTGCCAAGTCAAAATCTCTTAAATTTGGTAGTGCACCAGTGTGTAGACTCATATCTCTACCAATTACTGCGGGCAAGTACCAGAACGACTTGGATACTCAAGAGCATTGTTCTAGGTCTCCCACCAGAAATACAAATGTGAACCATCACTTGGATTTTTGTGTGTGTTTCTGACCAGCAGCACACTTTTTTTCTGAAAGCAGCAGTTTCTGTAACCTCTTCCTGTTCTGGATTCATGATCTGTGACAGTCCCCAGTCATGCTCACGTGGAGTCATCTCCTGTCATGGCTGCTTGGTCACTGTGGGCAGGTTCCACCACTGACTCAAGTGAAATGTGTCATTAGTGTCTCTGGTCTTAACCAGGTCAGAACTCACACGACACCAGGTTATAGTCTAACAGGTTTATTTGAAAACACAAGCTTTCAGAACGTAGCTACTTTACCTGACAAAGGGACTACGCTCCAAAAGCTTGTGTTTTCAAATTAACCTGGTGTTGTATGATTTCTGACATTGTCTGCCCCAGTCCAACACCAGCACCTTCACATCATGGTCTTAACCAGGCCTGGATGTCCTGGTCACTGTAATGGAGTGCAATCCCTCCTGCTTCTTCCCTACTTTGACACATTCTGCTATGATAAATTGACAAAGGTATAAGGCTTTGATCGGTCCCATATGTTGCCTTACATATACTAACCATTCTCAAGCTCAGTGATGCTTGATGTTTAATGTGATGGGCGGACATAGGGCACCAGAGATCCTGACAACCCAAGAACAAATAAAAAATCCAGAAAGGTTTGGAATTTTAGTGTGTATTTATGCAAAAGTATTCCTGGGAGATTAAAAAGAGTAGAATTTATAAGGGAGCTAAATGTAACATATCCAGATGCAAACATGGATTGTGATCC